TCAATGTACTATATTTATTAAGGGAATAATTATAAAATGAAAATTTTATATTTACTTTAAACTTAATTCAGAAATTTTCATCAACCTCAACTTTAAGATAATTTGAGTATCAAGAGTTAAAAGTTAATAATTTGTTATACTAATTATTTTTAATAATTATATTCCTGCTACAATACTAGAAAGGTATCCAGAGGGAGCTTTTATAACAAAAAAAGAAAATGAGCATAATCCTGTACTGCTCTTCCACATTTACAATCACTCTCTGAAAATAACTGTGAATCACTACATTGTTTCTATGTGGGCAAACTGGTATCTGAAGGTATCTAAGTGCCATAATTTTGAATTCAGCTCTTCCATACTACCTCAGTAGTTTCCATACTCTTAGCTATTAAAAGGGGACAATCAATTTTTTTTATGTAATAAGCAGTCATTAGCCCATTAGGGCTTTCTTGTGCTGTAAAAAAATATGCTTTGTATTACATCTTGGGTATGTTGTAGCACTGAGACTAAACTGTTTTTTAAGGAAGTGTTGTAAGCTTTGGCATGAGCATTAGGGTCACTGACAGCATGTATACACCACAGAGTTCTAAGGTCCAAGGAGGTAACTGGAATTTTAAAATTCTGCTTTTCATTTGCTAAGTCATCAAAATTTTTTTGAAACTTCAGATTCTTCTCACTCCTAATGAGTAAGTAGCTATATTTTATCAGAGAGAAGAGTTGTCACGGGTGAATACCAGCCAGGAGCCAAACCTCACAAGGCCCCAGACGGCCTCACTAGACCAGATTGCTCCAAGCCCCATCCAACCTAGCCTTAAACACTTCCAGAAATGGGGCATCCCCAGCTTCCCTGGGCAACCGGTTCCAGGGTCTCATCACCCTTAAAACAAAAAATTTTCTCCTAATATCTAACACACATCTAACCTAAATCTGCCCTGTCACTAAATGACCTTGTAAAAAGTCCCTCTCCATCTTGCTTGTAGGCTCCCTTCAGGTGGTGGAAGGCTGTAATTGGGTCACCCCAAAGCCTTCTCTTTTTCAGGCTGTATAGTCCCAATTCTTTCAGCCATTTCTCATATGAGAGGTCTCCTTTTCCCAAAGGGGGACCCAGAACAAAGAAATCCCTGGACTTTTATACCCTTCTAGTCTATGCACACGGTCTTTACACAACTTGAATGCACCCTGAACACACCTCTTAGTCCAATGGTGATTTTTGATCTGGGATCTTCTAACACCCCGTTGAATTCTTTCTCCATGCCCAGGCAGGCAAGTCATTAGCTGTTCTTTTCTTTTGAATAGCTTCTAATGATGACTGTAACCTTAAAATATGAGTTGTAGCTTAAATATAGGATTGTAATACAAATGAAGATAGTGCAGTATATGTGAATATCTAGAATACACTGTGTGATTACTTCAGGTAATTTCTACAACATTGTGGAGTAAAAAGTGAGTTGCTTTACAGAAGGAGGAAAGCATTACATATTTCTCAAAAGGGATCTATGTATAACAGAAGGAAGTGTGAGGGATTAATGTTTTGTAGAAATAAAAGGTGAAAAGAGGAATTAAAGACAGTAATAACAAAAATTACAAAAGAAGAAATAAAGAAGCAGCTTATTGCAAACCTGGCCCAACTTGTCAAATAGAAAACTTAATCAAAACTTAATGTGGGATAAAAACACTGTGTAAGAGATAAAAAAAACCAAAAGATACTATAAGATGCGGGTATATTGCTATTATCACATGAGATAATGAAAGAAATGTCTGGCCAATGTTTTGCACAAATTGCAGTGTGCAAAATCATTATCAGAACCTGAGAAATAAGCAACAGAGTTGTATCAATATTAAATATTATCAATATCTTTAACCAAAGAGCTTCCTGATGCTGCAGAAATTATAAAACTTAAATTTTCAATTCTAAAAAAAGTCCTGCTACACTAAGCGCAGCAGAATCTATTCACATCCACTACTTTATAGCATTTTCTGCATTTGTTTCTGCTTTTTTTTTACTTGATTGATCTCAGCTCTGTTATACTGAGATTTACACTAGTGGAGGAGTTGGACCTGAACATTTTACAGCTGGCATACAGCCAGGAGAGGTGAATACTGTAAGATGTAAAAATATGTTTTGTTTTCAGTAGATAGAAAAGCTGTCACTGTCTGCAACAGTGATCCAGGGCTTTGACCACAGATAAGTTTGCCTTCTCAATATTATTTCTGTGAATAAAAATCACCAGAATGTGGCATAACAATACCTATTAACAATCAATGATACATTACAATGAATGATTAAAGAATGGTCCTTTTTTTCTCTTCTTTCTCATATTGCATTACCAATCAAAAAATAAGTGTCTTTGAAATTCATAGTTTGTTGGTAAAATGATCACATTTTTTAAGAATTGTTTTTCTATCTCATCTGGAAGTTTCTCTTAGAAACCGCAAAGTAAATGTCTGCTGCTCAGTTAAGAAATCTACACTTGTATTCTGCAGGCATCAGTTTTGTTTTACTCTCAAATTCCTAATGGAGTTTAAAATTAAAATTAATGTTTCTGTTTACTTTCCAGTATATTCAAAATCCTAATCAATGATGTCAACACATCTCAGTAATAGTTTTTCTCTATTAATGTCTGATATTGGCAATAAAGGAAGCATGGGGCTCTGTTCAGTAGGCCAATCACTGGAGGATATTTTTTATGTTGTCAGCTGTAAACCAACTGAGCTGTAATAAATAGAACAATTAGTGGAAATAAAATAGCATGCTGACAAGACTGAAATGATATTGAGCAGGACACTTTGCAAATGCATAATCTTTTACCCAAGATGATTAGAATACAAATAGAAAGGGGAAAACAACAGCCTACCCAGAAATTAAAGACATTCCCATCCTCTCAGTACCATTTGACTTTGTCTTCTAAAGCTCTTTATCTCACTAAAAGTGCAGGGTTCTACCTTCCTCGTATTTTCCTGAATGACAGCTTTTGATACATTGCAGCATTCACAAATGTTGATCAGTTACCATTTAAATCTTTTCTTTACATAATCTTTCACATGTACTTCTCCTTCTGAAGCTGCCACTCCATCATTTAAACTTGATAGCACTATTTATGGACCATTATGTCACCTCCACTGACATTCTTATACAGCAGCTACAGTAGCTGTTTTACAGGAGTCTCTTCTGTTCTCATGGTCTTTCTGTTACTAGCACAGCTGTCTTAGCTGTACTTTGCCTTTGTTCATTTCAGTTTAGTGAGTCTGTTTAAATCAGTTGATAATCTTATCAATTGTTTGATAATATGATCAAAGTTGATAATTTGATCAACATAAGATAAATATTTTCCAGGGAAAAACAAATAACAGGCACTTAAGCATAAGCCTTCCTTTTAAAATACAATTTAAAATATAATTTATCAATTAATTTCATTTGGAAAAGAGAAAAAAAAATCTTCTCCCTCTTTTCTTCTATGAAGAAGAAGAATTATGAATGAAATTATGAATGAAATTATGAATGAAATTATGAAATCCTAGAGAATTTGACTATATAGTGTTATATATATATAAGAAACATTTTAAGTTAAATTTTATTTCCTTCTGTGAGTTAAGCATTTACATTCTCACCATCTGTAAGTACTACAACTGTACCTGCAACTTCAAATAGATTCCTCTGTTAGTTTTAGGAGTTGTGTGGTTTTTCCCATTAATCTATAGAGACCTTTTCATTTACTGATACAAGTCTCCTAGAAATTCTGCATGAATTTATACTGTACATCAGATTCAGTTTGTGGTATCACTTCCTGAGACATATGAATATTGTGCAACATTCTGAGGACAGTAACAGAATTCACAAGGTCAGAATAGTATTCAGCCATCATGATGGTTAAGGAAAACAACCCTCATCAATGTACCCTTTGAAAGTAGTTAACAGCCAAACAAAGAATTGAATTAATGCAGCATACTTTTGACCAATATGCCTGCTGGCCATAAGGCCTTAAATACACCACCACTACATTAATTTTCAACCCTATCAAGGAACTCTTACAAAAATTTTCTTAAACTTCACTTCAGTGGATTGCAAACCAAAATCCAAAACCAATGTAAAAATAGTAGATGACTATATGTCTTTTAATGCTGAAGCATATTGATATTATAATTAAACAATAATGTAAGCTCATTTAAAATACAGAACCGCACAAAAAAATTAATTACTTCTCTAAAATAAGTAATTGATGAAAATTTACATTTTATAGTAAGAAATATTTACAAAAGCATATATAATGTTTAAAATATATTCAACCTATATTAAACTAGTATTAAACCTACTAGGATCAGATATTTAATCTGAAAGAACATACTGCAGCACAATACAAAATAAATCACTGATACTTTTATCAAGGTATTCAATACAACTGGGTTCTCAGCATAACTCACATTTGTCGGACCACAGCTGACAGAAGAAAATACAGTAGATCTAGAATCTCAGAAAGAAAGTTATGAAGTGAATGTTAATAGGAAAACACATTTAGCACCATTGATACTTAGTGAAATTTTATAACCCCATCTATTAAATATTTCCATTTTCCATTTTCAAAAAAGAGCTCTCCTAATTTCAGTCAGAACTGAAACACATTAGAGGAGGAGGAAATCAAGATTAAGTTGATTCTCTGAGTCCCTCCTGCAGGTCCAGTTTCCATCTGTAGCAGTGGGGAACAAAGTGACATGGACCCCCTTACACATAAAAAGGAGATCCCTTTATGGTAGAAATTGGCTCCTTTTTATTCCTTTAATTTTAACCTGACATAACTGAAACCAAAGTCAGATGTAACAAAACTTAACAGAAAGAAGGCACCCATTGGCTGGCTCAGCTTCCATGTTGCTGTCCACTTGTCCTATCATCTAATCAGCTTCCTGCTCATATGCTGTCCATGCTTCCTTCAGCCAATCAGCTTCCTACTCCTACGCTCTCCACACTTCCTCCAGCCAATCACAATCTCTCTTTCAGCTGACTCTCTCCTCACTCAGAACTGCCTCTCTCCTCTCAGCCAACTTCCAACCATCCAGCCTGCAGTGTGACTTTCCCGTGGGGCCTTCTGGTGAGCATAAGCCTTAACCACTCTAATAAGTATTACCCCACATCCTACATCCATCCATATACTTTTATAATCAAGGTCACTTGTTAGATACCAATTCTAAAATTAGTTTGATAAAAATTATTACATCTGGTCTTGTTTCACTTGATTATTGCACAGAATAGGTTCAAGTGTTTTCAATAAACAGAACTATTCCTTTGATTAATGTGCAGTGCCTGTGATTTGTGACATGCTTTACTTGATATCCATGTAAGCAGAATTTAACATAACAGTTCTAATTATTTCACAAATTTTTTTTTTGATTTTTTAAACTATTTTCTATTACCTTTACATTTGGATTAAATCTATTTCATCTATTTCATCTATTTCAACACAAAAAAATTGTTCTTATTAGAAGAATGCTTCATCTTATCAAAAGAGGATTTTAACAAAAGAAATAATTCCACCTATGTCTTTTTCACCCAGAGATAAACCAATACATTGATCATCTGGGAGACTAGCAGTCAGCTACCAGCAGTCAGCAGTGATTAGTTGCATAATTGTGACTTCAGTCGTCCAGATTACTTTGCTTATTGTTTAAAAAACCAGTCCTTCATGAAGGAGAGTGCATCTCTCAATACTCTTTTTTGATATTATGTATGAATTCAGTAACCCTGAGCTCTGCTCATTCCTTTCAGCAATAATGTGCCACCCACGTCACCGAAGCTGGGAGCTCAGAACCTTTCTTCATTTTATTTAGATCAAACTGAATCAATCTCTGTCTCATGACCAAAAAGAAGAATGCAGCAGAAGGATTTATACTTTACAAATTATTAAAATCTCAGCCAACTTTATGGATCAAAGATTGACAAGACTTAGTTAGATAACACACTTGTAGTCTTACAGAGACAAGCTAGGGCCTCATCTGATAACAGAAGCCAAAAGGGAAATGCCAGAGAAATATCCCAAAAGAGTTAAAGGGTGCTCCTCTAGGAAGGTGACACAGCCAAGAGTCCAGCTTAGGTGCCTTTATACCAATTCATGCAGCATGGACAGAAACAGAAAGAATTGGAAGCTAGTGCCGTGCTACTAGAAACCTGTGACCTTGTTCCCATTACTGAAACTTTGATGGAACTAATTCCATGCCTGGAGTTTGGCTACCAAAGGCTACAGGCTATTTAGAAGATAGCTCCTTATTCAAAGGAGGAAGGAGAGGTGTAGGAGTTACCCTCTGCTTTAAGAGGTGGACTGAGTGTGAAAAGTTGTCTCTGAAGAACTGCCATGAGAAGGTCAAAAGCATGTGGGTAAGAATCAGAGACTGAGGCAACAAAGAAAACTTTGTGATCAGTGTCTACTACAGGCCCCTGATCAATGGGACCCTCCTGACGAAGCCTTCTTGCTGCAGCTACAAGAGGCATCGTGCTCACAGGTTCTTGTCCTCCCAGGGGGCTTTAACCATCCTGATGTCTGCTGGGAAAGTTGCACAATAAGCTGTAGGCAATCCAGGAGACTCCTGGAAAACACGGAAGATAACTTTTTGACCCATTCCCTGTCAGAAGGAATGTGATACAGGATCTTATGGTCACCAGTGTAAGAAAGCCAGCTGGGGACACCAAGATTGGAGGCAGCCTGGGCTGCAGTGATCATGTCTTGGTGGGGCTTGCAGTCCTGAGTGGGCCTACAAGAAAGAAGAGAGATTATTTACAAGAGCATTTAGTGATAGACCAAAGGGAAATGGCTTCAGACTGAAAAAGACTATGTTTGATTAAATTAGATAGTCTCTATTGTAGAAGTGGTGAGGCAGTGGAATAGGTTGCCCAGAGAAGCTGTGGGTGGCCCATCTATGGAAATGTTCAAGACAAGCTTTGATGGGGATCTGAGCAACCTGATCTAGTGAAGAGTGTGCTTGCCCATGGATTAAGGGTCAGAACTAGATGATATTTAAGGTCCCTTCCAATTCAAACTATTCTATGGTTCTATGTTAAGATCTGCCAGAAGGTCAGATCCATTTAGGCTTACATGTTTATTTTTATCTTCCAACTCTTGTTGTTAAGGCAATAATTCTAAGAAATAGCCTTGGGAAAAAACCTCTTGTCTTGTACACACAGTGCTGTTGATTTACAGTAGCAATTAGTTGGATCTTAAAAAGCCCAGGAAGTCTATGCTATTAGCACTAAGTTTTCAGGAGAGATAATAAACACTTGCTTTTAAATGCTAGTGGGCGATTTAAAAATCTCAATAAAATAAAATACAAATTGTTATTTAAGCTATTTATTAAAATCTTTATTGAGGAAAAACTGAAAACCCACTTCCCATATATGTATGCTTGACAGAGATTTGGGTCTGAGCCAGTAGCAATCTGTTCTAATAGTTCTGAAGGAGATAAAGTTGTCTATAAGGATTTTTCTTTTTTTGTTTGTATGAAATAACAAGGCAGTAATCTTCACTGAATATCAAAAAGATAAATTTGTGTTATCATAAAAAACCCCAAAAAACTCTGTATGTCTAGAGAAATTAATCATATGAATTCTAGATTGCTTTAAATTTTGATATAAGCAATTACTGTTTGCATATCAACTTAATTCTGCAACTGTAATTCTACTTTTCACTTAGCTTTATGCTGGATATTTCAGAATGATGACTGTTACAAGATTTTTAGAATATCCTCTATGCAATCAAGGAAAATTACTCATTTTGCCAGAATTGTTGCATAAATGCAAGATAAGGACAAGTAGCAGTTTCACAGAAATTAATAGGCGGAAATAATTAAGCTACACTTAAGTCAAACTTTTATTTACCCCCATAGAAAGACAATCAATTTATTAATTGATAATTTTGAATAAAATAAAAAATGTCTAGAAGGTATGGAAAGGGAAGCTTCCCTACCCTACATCGCTGGGGTCTATACTGGGGAACAGCATTCAGATCTGAACACTGTACACCCCAGAAGAGCTCAGCTCATGGATCCAAATGAGACTAATGTAAATTAGCAGTTGTATAGAAATGAATTATATGAGAGCTGGTTTAGAAAGGAACGTATTTAATTTCTAAAATTTAAAACTGAGTACAGGAGTGTTGATGCTCTCCCGGTTCATCAAAGACTGTTGCTATGAGAAGGGGAATAAAATGTTCTTTATGTCCATATTTAACTGTGTTTCAAACTGAGCAAAGCAGATTCAGGTTACAGCCTAAAAATAGCATTTTGATGGTAACAATAATGAAACAGTGGAAAGTTTGATATAAGTAGACTGTGGAGACCTTTAATGAAAGGTTAAGTAAACACCTATGGGTAGGTTCATAGCTAGAGCTAATATTGCCTCAGATCTTGAAGGTTAACTGGGTGACATACCAATCCTCTGTCATTCTAGGCAAGCCATACAGAAACCTACACAGAAGAACAGAGGCTTGCCTGAGTGTATTTAAGACAAATGGGGTGAGGGGAGAGGGGATGAATGAAAACCAACCTAGAAGATGTGCTAACATATTCTATATATCATGGCTCACATTTCATTATCAGAATGTTATACTTCTACCAGTGAAAACTGGTAGCATTGGTGACTTGTTTGAAATGTAAGAACATTTATAATATAATAAGCACATGATGATAAAATAAGAAAAATATATATGGGTAGGAGCTACAGCAAAAAAAAAACAAAAAACCAAAACAGGTTCCATTGGCAAAAGGATTAATGGTTAGATATTTAATTTTTGCTAGGTGTTCTTGTGTTCATGTAATTTTTTAAAGCACTCTATTCCATCTAGATATTAAAGAGTCTTTATTTTTCCATAGAAAACTGTTAGAGAACTGCATTTTTCTTCTGCTTTATGCCTTTGAGGATTTGGCCCAATCTGCAAATAACTATAAATCTTTCGTACACAACAGTTAATACAGCCGAAGCACAAGTCAGGGCCCATACAACGGTAACTTTCAGATGTTTTTGAAATGCTTCAGCACTGAGTTAGAGTTTATTTCAGATATAAAATAGATAGAACAGGTGCTATCAAACAGTTTTATTTCCTCTATGACATAAAGCCTCAATCCCATGAATGACATCCTAGGTCTTTCCAAATAGTAAACTTGCTGAGAAATGGATTTAAGAGGTTTGCAGTGATGACCTCAAGGCATAAAAGAGACAGTACTATAGAGAGAAATATGGGAAGATCTTGCCAAACTTAATGTGGAAACAAAATGGGAAAATTCTGTATATTAGATGGTTTTTAGGGAAGAGACATTTCCCTATCATGCAATTTTTCCTGCTAATGGAAATGTTAAAGAACAATAAAGCAAATTTCACAATGAACAATATTTACTTAAAAAAATCCCAAGCACTCTAAATGTTATAATTCAAAACATTTAGAGCAAGGTAAATAATTTCTCTTCAGGTAATTCTGCTTTACTATTTACTTTGATAAACCTTAACAGAAATATATAGAATAAGAAATTAGTTCTTACTCTTATTTTTTATCCTACCCCTGAGGAAGAAGAGCAAGAGAGACAATGCATGATGAACAGACTGCAACTCAAATTCCATATTCCCTTGCTGCATGGTGGGAGAAGGTAGAGAAAATCAGGAGTAGCATTAGACCCTGGAAGAGGAGAAGGTGGGGGAAAGGTGCTTGGTTTTGGTTTTTTTTATTTCTAATTATGCTACTCTGATTTTATTGTCAATAAATTAAATTCATTTCCCTAGTTGAGTCTGCTTTGCCCGTGACAGTAACTGCTTAGTGCTCTCTCTCTCTCACTCTCTCTTCATATCTGGACCCACAAGTCTTTCATTATATTTTTTCTCAACTGTCCAGCTGAGAAGGGGAGTGATACAGCAGCTTCGGTGGGCATTTGCCATCCAGCCAAGTTAAACTCACCACACTAAAATAAGGTAGCTTTGCTTTTGGTGAGGTGCTTTTTGGTTACACTCAAGAATTTATTCAACTTAAGCAAAATCAGCAAATTTAGTAAGGTAAGAGACTACTGTGTCACTCCTTCCAAACTATTGAAGTGCCTATGATATTTATTAAATAGCTGGATTTTGATTTTAAAAAGACCCAAAACGAACAACCAAACAAAACCAAACAAAATTAACAAATGAACAGAAAAGTGGTTTGTTTTTTTTCAGTTTTAAATACTTATTGCAAGAAAATAATGTCTAAAAGCTGACAAATCCAGAAAACTGTTGCCTTTAAAAATAAGAGAAGCATTCTCTTTCACACTGAGGAAAGATTTTAATGCTGAATTAGATGATATAGGAAAAAGAAAATCGGGTAAGAATCTAATCTGGGAAAAAAAAAAAAAAAAACAACCTGAAGAAATATAATTTATCTTCTTGTTTCCAGAACAAAAATTGAAATAGTTAAGTAGTGCAACATAGGCAAGATGATGAAAATGAATACAGGGATCCATAATCATTCTATCTAATTTTGAGTGCAAAAATAGTGTACAAACTTAAGAACTTCTATGTCTAAGGTCCTGTACAAATTCCATGTAGATAGACTCCTGTACATGGTGCTTTACTTCATTCCAAATTTTAAGACACTTCATGAAAACCACACCTCTTGCTAGCTATAGTGAACAAATGGAACAACCAGTATTATCTAAGCATAATGAAAAAGAAGGCCTACATTCAAATCAGTGAGAGCTAAAGAGAAAGGCTAGGAATAAGCTATTTAGAACATTTTATCAACAGAGATAAACAGAAATTATTCCCAGAGAAGGAAAAATAAAATAAAATGAAGCTTTACTGAGAATAGATGCATTTACATAACTTTCAACTGTAAAGGTATACAAGACCTAAGAATGCAGATTTACAGAGATGTGGTCCTATTGATTGAAGACAATTAGCCTTTAAATGATTAGTTTGAGTCTTCAATTTTTTCTTGAGTTTTATGGGATTTCTTTGAACTGCTTAAAATGTCTCACACCTTAATTTATGAAGTTTGAACATGTGGGAGAAATATGATCCCAAATAATAGGGAAAACACTTATCAATATTTTAAATTCTAAATTTATGTTATAATATGAAATTTATTCAATAATTTCTATTCTTTAAAAAAAAATACAAAATGAGAAATGCAGATATGGAACACAAATTTTAATCTTCAGTTATTAACATTTTTTCAGGGAATTGTTTGGTTTGTAAGGTTTTTTAATTCCCCACACTTATATTTGATAATAATACTGGATCTGCTCTTTGATTCTCTTCAGTTTACAGCAGGTCCAGCAGCGTAATTGGACTGTTCAGTAGATAGCTATAACTCCATAATTTCTTTCCTTTATTCCAGGTCTGGCAAAGAGTGAATATTTTAAAGACTATCTACTGTCATCTATTGACAGAAGTTCACAAGAGAGTCTTCATTGCACTTCCTTTTCCTCTAAAATAAATGACAATTCATTCTTGAAAAGTGAAGAATTTCTCAAGGTGGAAGAATCTTCATGTCCACTTCCTTTGTACTACTGGAACATAAAGAGCACTTGTATTGTACCGATACTGGAGTTGCATGACCATGTTTTGCAGGGGGAAGAGGGAGGCTAAAGGGGTGTTTCTGAGAGAAGCTGCTTAGAGGCAGCCAGCCCCAAGACAAGACTCCCAAATTCTCCCTCCTTGGGCCGAACTATTACAGAGATAGGTGAGAGCCTTTGGCTAATCTTTTTGTTCCTCCATCAGCTTGAAAACAAGCCCCTCTTCACTTGTCCGCCATGCAACAAATGGGAAGAAATTAGTTTGAGAAATCTAGCCCATAACAACATATTAAACATGCTTTTCACAGCTCTTTCTTTCTATTTTACCTGGTTTCATAAAGAAGAGGATAAGACTATTCCCAAGTATATAAAATTATGATAAATCATATCTTACCAGTGAATTTGAATGAAGAAATAAGTTTTCTGTTTGCAGTGATTTCCCCTTTTTTAAAAAATATACATTCTGTTCTGATTTAATTTTATAGTGATGTGTTTGAAACATTTTCTACCCATACTGACAACTTGACCACTGACTTTTTAGGTGAGTGTTTCTTAACTTATGTGGCTCCCAAAACAGTACTACTTTTAAAAGTATGATGATAAGAATTTTTGAAAAGTATTCCTACTTTTTATGAAGACATAACTCAGTACTTTATGTATAGATATAATATTTCATATTAGAAATAGTTAATATTTGTGATATTTTTGACAGGTGGAGAAATAAAATGAATTTCAGGGGAATATGTGGTAAATGCAGCAAGTACAAGCAAAAGAAGAAATACATTGCTTTGTCTTGATTGTACTGTATTTCTTTACATGAAAAAAAAAAAAGCAACTACAAAACAAGATAAATTTTCTTTGATGGTACTGGTGAACATAAGAGACTGTGAACTAAAGTTTATTTCTTACATGAGTACAACTGTCATCGAAGTCAATAAGAATCCTGTTCTGTGTGGATATTTGGCCCTTAGTGGCTGTAAGCAAAGTATTGTGTGGCAGTGATGCTCAACAAGCGTGGAAATGACAGCTGGAAGATGAATATAAAAATAGATTGGAAGTGACAGTGAGTCTGACTATATGTACAACCTTTTTTTTTTGTAAAAATGAGCTAAAAGTAACATCTCAAATTCTGTCACTTTTCTTGCTACTAGCAGCCATTTTTTATGAATCCAAAATAATCAAAGTGATCTGTAGGTCAAGTGTTTCTATGGAAAATAAAAATGGAATTATTTCCTGAAGGTGAGTATGATACCAAATTTACACTACCAATAACAAAAGCATCTGATTTTAATGCAGAATTTTGGGCACTAAGATTTTGAAGGAATAATACTAACACCAGCCATCATTTCTTGATAGCTGTGAGTAGATTCCTGATTTCAGTTTGGGAGAATAAGGAAATATTTCATATATATATATGTGCATGAGCAATGGAAGAGAATTGGAATTTATGTAGTTTTAGACTGTGCCATTCACATCATTCGGTCTGGAAGTAGAAATGTTTCTAACATTTGTTATTCCTGAAAATGTCTGAAGGGAAAGTTATTTTGAGTACTTTGGATATCTTTGTTACTTTGTAATTCAGGTGTTGTATAAGCTTAAATTAGAACTTCAAACAACGTCTAAATAGTTTTGGTCCTGCTTAGATCCGCTGTATTGATAGTTAAATTAATTTTCATGTAAATTATGTGGAGTGGGGGTTTTTAGGGTTTTTTTGGTTGTTTTTTGTTTTGTTTTGTTTTTTGTTTTTTGTGGGTTTTTTTGTGAAAAGATAATGTGATAATTTTGGAAAAAGGATTCCCTCTTTAGAACTTAAGTATGCATAGTTTACCCTTAAGTAGTCTAAGATATTGTTGAGCATCTGTACCCTTCATATCAGTTTTACTGCATTTTGCAACTAAGCAAAACTAATTATTATGAAGAGGATCAGCAATATAAATTTGGATGGGAATAAAAGTCTCAGACTTTTAGTTTCAAGGTCTCACACCTCTAAGGAGACCTATTAAATTAATATTTACCTGAGGCATTTTGAATGCTGGTCATAAATCCTTAAAAGAAGAGACATTACCTACTTCATGGGTAACAAGGGAAGTCTGCTTTGGGAAGGTTAATAGTTCAGAGAGTACCTTTGAAAATGAGTAATTTAATTTTTTTTTCTAATTCTTGAGGAGTCAATTCACCCTTGTAAGTATATTGAAAGTTTAGGATAGATAAAAAGCAATGATCAGGCGATGTGGAACTTGAGTTTCTTGTGGAGAAGGTAGGAAATAAGACTTATATTCTTCCTTAAAGAGCAGATCCCTTAAGTCCTTTTTAAGACTGACCATAAGGCTAACACTTGATCAATGCTCTTGTTAAACTGTTGTTCTCAGCATTTACCGTAATTACAAGAAAATAAGAGGATATGTTCCAAAAAGTGTGAAAGCAGTTTTAATAATAAAAACATAAAAATACATTTCAGTCATACTACCTGCAAGAAATGAACGGAATTTAGACTGTTAACTTCCATTATTAAAACATGAGAAAGTAGGCAGAAAAAGAAATCAAAACGCTCAAAAAACCAACCAACAACCAACCAACTAAAAAAACCGCAAACCAAATAAACAAACAAAATGCAATAAAAACCCAACAACAAAACAAAATGAGACACTTTCCAAAGCATTTTTAGGAAATAATCTCAGCCATAAAATAATTTCTTACATTAATTTTGAATGCTGAGTCTCTTTGCTTTTTCAATAAACATTGAAGATTTCTTCAGTTCTTTCCTAAAATGCTGCAATGTGTGCTCTTTAATAAAAGAGCTTTGGAATAATATTCCAGTTGGCAAATTTAATAAAGCTCTAGGGTGCATTCTGAAATCCTTCCTCCAGTATGCAAATAAATGCAAGCTGTTCATAAAAAGCTAAAAACCACAAACCAGGAATAACACTGGATTTGAATGGCTGCTGCTGAAAAATACTATTTTACTTTAAAAATAGAATTCAATTTGTACAATAGAGAACACTATAGATACTTATTAGCTAGTAAATTATAATTTTGCTTTGTAGTACGCCACCTCAGAAAATATATCTCTGTTTCATTGGCTCAGGTTCCACAAATTCATAAAAATAACCGTGTTTTTAGATAATAGGTAAAATCATGATATTCCAAATTTAACCCAAAAGTATTTGTTGGATAACTTGCAAGAATAGTAGAATCATAAAGGTTAGAAAAGACCACCAAGATTATTGAGTCCAGCATCTGACTGAACACCATCACATTTACAAGATTATAGCACTAAGTCCCATGTTCTTCCCTGAGCCTCCTTTTCTCCAGGCTGAAGGACCTCAGCTTCCCCAGCCACTCCTGACAGGATTTACTCTCTAGACCCTTCAGCTTCACTGCCCTTCTCTGGAAACACTTCAGAACTTCAATGTCATCCTTGGGGCCCAGAACTGGAAAGAGCACTTATGGCGTGGCCTCACCAGTGCTGAGGAAGGGGGACAGTCACTTTCCTGGTTCTGCTGGCCACCCTATTTTTCATACAGGCCAGGATGACCCTGGCCTTCTTGGCCACCTAGCACACTGCTGGATCATGTTTATTGGGATGCTGAAAGTCACCCCTAGGTTCTTTCTCACCAGGCAGATGTCCTGCCATTCCTTCCCAGCCCCATGCAGCATCTAATGCTGCATAGGGATGTTGTAACCCAAGTGCAGGACCTGGCACTTTGCCTTCTTGAGCCTCATACAATTAGCCTGGGCCCATCAACCCAACCTGTCCAGATCCCTCTGCATAGTCTTCCTACCCTCCAGCAGATCAACAGTCCCACCCAACTCGTTGTTATCTGCAAACTGAGTGCTGATCATCAGTACAGATATCAAGCAGAGCTGGACTGACTCCATTCATCATCACCTTCCAGGCCCAGCCATCCAGCAGCTGTAACCCAGCAGCTGTAACCCACCTGCCCAGTCTGCAGGCTGCCATCATCAAAGGCTTCAGTAAATTCACAAGTCTATGGGGGTAGATGGAATTCACCTGAGGCACTGAGGCTCTGGGGCTGTTTATGGTTGATTTAGCAATGGCCTCACCATGTCAGCCACTCTCCCTGATGGGTCTTTCTGCTCTCTCTCAGCTTGCCCTGACTCCAGGAACCCACTGCTTAACTCCTTCAGGTATTTTGCCCCAGTCACTGCTGTTGTCACTGCTGTTACCATGTACCTTGTCTTGCCAACTTTTAATGACTTTATGCATTTAATGGATGCAGTATGATGTATTTATTGCACCCTAACTTCTAAACTAATGAAGTTGGAACCTTTACAGCATTTTGATCCTCTTCTATTTACAAATGTTTAATAATTTTAAAAATAGAGTTATGTTAAAAGCTTGTAAGTTTCAAATTGATCAATATTTTTTTATTCTAAATTGAAAATACATTAATTTTTTTCCTTTGTGTAACATTGCATTTTTATTCCATCTTTGGAAGTTATTGTTTATAAGAGGAAAAAATTAAAATATGCTTAAAAAAAACCAACTAAAATAATCTAACTCCCAAATAAAATTAATTTAAATCAGTTCAACAAAATCTATAGGCCATATTATTTCATCTTATGAGAATTAAAATAGGTGATTTTTAAAATGTCTGTATCATAGTGCAGATTTTTACACAGAAATTTAAAAAAGAAAATAAATTCTTCTTTAGAAACTCATATTGGTCCCTATGACAGATTTCCAATTGAAAACATAATGTCAGAAAAACAGAAACTTAATATAGATGTCTACAACCATTCTACTCTCTCGAGACTTCTTTTTTTTTAGATACCAAGATGCACTTCAAGGATGCAGTTTGTCTAACTTCTTTCAGACATCTGTTTAGGTTGAAATTAATCACATCATAAAATCACTTAATTTCCTCTATGACTATCGAGTGTCATAGTGTTTAAATTCCAGCCTTGGGAACCTGAAACAGAGGTTAGTGTTTTTATTAACCTCTTGCCTTTAGCAAAGTTTCCTGATTTTTGTCTCAGAAAAGCATATTTTACGGTGTCCGAATT